ACCGACCTACCAAGGGTTCGAGCTGCCTTCAGATCGAACTCCAAGAATTCAGGAAGCGTAAGGTATGACCTGAAGGATTGGGGGTATTTATACTCATCGGAAAACTTTCCCCACCGTACACGTGTAATCAACGAGTGACTGGGATCTTCCCAAAATCCGAAGCGTCGGAATATTTGAATATTCCGACGATAAATCTACCGCAACGGTTGTATTTTTCCACGAATAGGAAGTCGCCACGTGTCCGAAGCGAATCGAATGAACTTCTCTGCCAGGTCGAGATCGAACCGGACAGAGAGGGGGCCGATGTTTGGGGGAGAAAATACCCTGGACACGTGGAGGACAGCTATGAATGTTTCAAGATGACTCATGAGTCATGCTCAACTCGAACCGCCGAGATTGCCACCACTAGCATTGACATGTGCTAAGTATAAGGGTCGAGGTGCGAGCTGGTCAAGGTCCGATCTACCGAGAAGCTCGGCAGGTTCGATGTGAGCAACCATCAGTGGCGTGATTATCGGGTGTAACCGTCGATCCCGAGATTACCGGGTGTAACTGTCGGTCCCGAGATCACCGGGTGTAACCGTCGCGAGATTAACGGAACTACCCCCCATAAGTTGAGGACCTCACTCCACACTCAGGTATGGTTTTTGACCTCGAACTAAATTGGGAATCCGACCTATACTGACTTGATCGTTGGAGTGTACGCCTTTTTGTGCAGGTCCGCCCAAGTGTTCAGATCGGTCCGGAGACCGAGTTCGAGCTGCGATCAGAATAAACACTGTTGTGCATATTCTTGCATAAACACTATCCAACCCATGCTGTTTTTCCTTGGTGTGGCACATCTAGCACAAAAGGTATGGTTTTTCAAGACAATTGATTCTCGTGGTGCAATCCATGTCCCTTTTGACATGTATGTTTATATGATCTATTTTAATCTACTATGACTTGAAAATCTTGGTCTGTAAAGCTGTTGACTATTTGACATTCATTTTCTTTTAATAATCAATTGATTGAAGATTACGGAAGATAATGAAAATAATATATATACCTATAATCACCTGGTTCAAAACTGTGTGTAACATGATTCAAACTCTTTAGCAAACTATAAAGAATTTTGTCAATTTTAGGAGTTCTTATAATTTTTTTTTTTTTTTTTGACATAGGAGTTCTTATAATCATGCTACTGAACTTTCAATTTCCATGTGGGATGAACTCACAACCTTTAAAAAAATTTGTTGTAATTAATCCCACCGTAGGATTTAATTACAATAAATTGGAGTGGAGGGTGATTGTACGAAACAAATTTTTACTGAGGCAAAATTATATGACATGTTAGGTAGTTTCAAATTTTGTCTTTTTAACCTTTTAAAGTTTAATATTTAACCTTTCAATTTGTAATTTAAGAAAAAGAAAACTTTTGTTAGCAATGTTTATTAAAATGCCAAAAAATATATCAAATTTGAATATTTGAATTTGTTTAGAAGTAAAACTCAAACCAACTAAATTATACAATAAATTAAGAGATTGAATGTTTGGAACATAGGACTATTAACATAACTTTCTATACTTCCAATGCTTTTTTAGTTCTCACTCTTATCAAAACACCTTCTGCTTTTAATAAAAAGTATTTCTAAACATATAGCTTCAATCTCTTTTGTTCAAATAAAACTAATTTTGAAAATAATGCCTTTCACTAATAAAGTTCACTTCACTTGATTCACTTAATTTATAGATATCGAGAATAATTTTAAGATTAATTCGCTAATAATTTGGATACTTGAATAGAAATATGTATAATTTGATGGGACGATACCTCACTCCCAACTGGGTTATATGTACATTTAATTTTCACAATCAATCTACAATCCATTAAAAGTCAAATAATACGAACACCAGTACTTTGAAGAAAATATACAAAAGAAAAATAAAATAAAGTAATATCAAAATTTGTTGTAGAGTAAAAGATTTTCATTATTAAGAATCCCACATTAGAAAACGAATGATTTATAATAGATATGGACTACTCTACTCATGGCCAATTGACTATTTTGGAGTTCCGAGCTCATTTCGTCCTATAAACTAAATATGATCGAGCAGAAGTCACACAAACAAAGAGGAATCTTGAAGGAAATTGACTTTTGTTCGTCGATAGATATTCTTAATTCCTTAGCAATTACAGCTAAAAATAGGTAACAAAATAAACAAAATACATCCCAAGTATGAAAATGCTGCCATTAATCACATGACAAAATAAACAAGTAGCTAGCAATGGGGTTTGGGAATGGTCAGATCAATTGTGGAAGATACACAAAAAAAGTGGAATACAATCCAATAGGAGCCGTAAGCACAGCACTGTACTTATGATTTGACTTGAAAATCCACACCCTTTTGGAGTGACCCGTCATATTATAGAATGATGTCAAGGGAATGGGTGTGAGAATGAGCTGTGTTGAATCTCCTGCCCCAACTCCTCCAACTATGCATTCATTCCTCTGACCAACCAACAAATAACACCTATTAATTACCTCGACTACTCCTCTCATGACTAATTAAGTGGTAATGTACAATACCTGTGCGGTGAGAGTAATCTCCTCGTCTTCATAAGCAAACCTCACGCCCGAATGCGACAAAGTAACGCGAACATAAGGAGCGCGATCAAACATGGTTGCCACGGGCTTGAAGTCTTGCAAATCAATGGACACAAAGACTGAGTAGTCGATTTCTGTGGAGGCCTTCTCCTCTGCAGGAGAGAGGGGCAATTCAATCACGCGCTGCGTGAGGCAAGATCCTTCTGAGATCAGCTCCACGCGGGGGAGGTGGTGGTCGAGGGCGAAGCTCAGCGAAGAGCATCCGCTGCGCTGAAAGTTGAGGAGAGCGCGGAAGAAGTTTTCGATGTAGAATGAGGAGTTGGGGTTCTGGTCGAAGAAATTGTATGTGGTGAAGAAGGGAGGCATTATTTGGAGGGCTATGTTGCACCGGAGGGAATGGTGGTACACGTACAGGGAGAACATCGCCGCCGACAACTTGAAATGGCATCGAGTCGATATTCCGGCCAGCACTGCCGTCGCCTCCACGAACCCGTCTATCCGCTCGAGCTTGAAGATCAACATGGCAATGGCAATGGAACGGTGAAGGAGAAGGAGATCAAGGAAGGCTCATTTTTTGATAGTCTAAGTTTTTTATTTTCAAGAAGATAATTCAAGTCAAGGGTATATTATTTTCCAAACTACCGTGAGAAATTATTGGAGGAAGTTGCTACAATATGTGATGTAGTTGATAAAATTAAGCTATTAGATTTGTGAGAGAGAAATAAACATACTTTAAAATCTATATTTTTTAATCTTTCATCCAACGGTAAAAAATAAAAGTTGTTATCTTAGTTTCTAATCGAGATGTTATTAATTTGAATCTCCCTGATATCTAAGTGTCTTAACTATCTAATGAATGGAACTCAAAAGTCATTCTCTCCGACAATGGGAGAGACAATATTATTTTGGAACGAAGCTTCAACTATACCCAAAAGATTAGTAGTTTTCTAAGTAATTTTAAGTGACTAACTGTGGTCCATAGAATGTGATTTTTCTTCTTCAACTTCAGCAGTAAGTTGTAGTTCATGGTTCTTTAGTGCTAGCACGAACTGATTGTAAGATGGATAAGGGGCTTTGGAAAGCATAGCAATTCTGAAATCTTTGTACTTACCTCCCAAACACTTTGCAAGGTGGAAGAGTTTGGTTGTGTCATCAAGGGGCTTTTTCATAGCTGCAAGTTTGTCACATAATCCCTTAAATCTCTTTAGATAGTCTTCCATGCTCATACTCTCCTTTCTTAGACTGACTAAGGATTCATTTAGATGGATTTCATTCTCCTTGGTCATGGTTAGGAGAAGTTCTTCAAGTGATTTCCAAACTTGATAGGCACTATCATTTGCTTCCATCATAGAGAGAGGACTTCTTCTGTAATTGTTCCCAAAAGCCATGAAGTCAACAACCCATCATTGTTCTCCCATATACTGAATTGAGGATTGAGAGTCACTTTTCCCTCCTTATCTGTGAGTTCTTGTTTTGAAGCACTATCTTCAAGCAAGTGATGTTCAATCTTCATGCTTCTGATGAGAGGTACAATTTGTGATTTCCATAGCAAGTAATTGAAGGAGTAACTTAATAGAAATTAGGCTGGAGCATTGGTGAAAAATCTGAATGGTGAAGGATGTTTCAATATTGGTCATGAGTGTTAAGAGAGGAGATAAGAAATCGATTTCTTTTGTACAGAGAAACCTTGGATACCATAAAAGGTATAGCATTAATGGTTTTGACAATTGTCCTAGTTTTTATTAGGATACCATGACTCAAGGCATATATAATTTCAAATTATGGTAATTACACCCACAAACTTTTTGAAAAAGGTACAGGTACAAAATTGCTGGCTGTGGGGTTCAAACCCACGCACACTTATGTGCAGAAGATCTTAAGTCTTCCCCCTTAACCTCTTGGCCAAACTAGCTCAATTGATAACATAAAACTGGTTTAAATTTTATTTTTAATCTTCTATTAAAGTTTAATCTTTAATCATTCAATTTGTAATTTAAAAAAAATTTGTTAGCAACTTTTATTAAAATGCCTAAAAAAATATCAAATTTAAAATTTTGAATTTGCAAAACTCAAATCAACTAAATTATACCATAAAGAGAGTTTGAAATGACTCTCAACTACAAATAATTAAGAGATATACATATGATATTACTTGATATGTGAATAAATCTATAAATGATCCACTAGAAAAAGATTGAAGTTTATCATTTATGAATGACAAATATTCTTTAAGGTTACATGAAGTAATATAACTTATATTATACTTCCATTATTGTGTATTACTAAGGCATAGTGCACTTGCACTTATACTCAATTCAGTACGTTGCTCAACAATTTGCACCCGTACCAAGTATGCATTTTAGTAATACAAAATAACTCATAAAAGTTTTTCTTACTAAGAATAATAATAATAATAATAATAAAAATGTTTTTTGTATTTTTATAAATTTTACAATGTTTACAAAGAAAAGAAAAAACTACCTTTAACGTAAAATTATAGTATTTACGTCCACAAACTTAAAATTTTTGTAGTTCAATTCTATCGCTAATGAATATAATTGTTAGGTTCAATTTCAATAACTTGAGATCGATGGAATTGAAAGTTTGAAAGTATGAAAAGATAAATCTTTCCTTAACAATTGCTACTAAAAAAACGTAACAAAATAAACAAAATCCAAACTCTGAAAAGCCTAACCAAAACAACTAGCAATGGAGTTTTAGCAAGTTTCAGACCCAACTAAATTATATAATCCTAGTTTTTTAGTACCTCCCAAACTAGGATTATATATAAATTTAGAAGAAAAAAAAAAGTCAAATAATACTTTTAGACTAGAGAATTTTTCATGACACTTTGAGTCGATACCATGTGACTTTATTAGTTGGATTTTATAATTTGAAGTGTCCGTGACCACCGAATATTGTAACCAACTTTTCCATTGTCACATCGATTGTAGAAGATAGGTGTATATATATATAATAATAATAATAATAATAATAATAACAACATCACATAACCAACATGTTAGGATTGGTGGAGCCCAAACGACGTCAGAACGAGCTAGGGATGAGTCGGGATCGAAGTGGAGATGAAAACAGGGGAAAGTGAACAATGCAGGTGGAGACGCTCGCGTTTGCGCTCCATCCGTAGCGCCACATCGCTGTTTCGAGCTCTATAAATGTGCAGTTTTTGGGTTTAGGTTAGGTCAGTCGAAAAAGGGTTATTTGCAGTCGATTTTGAGCAAGTTTTGACAGGAAATCAGTGGCAACGACTCGGGTATTGATAGAGGATTTGACACTTATGAAGATTGATATAATTTGGATAATTGTATATTGATTCTTGTGAGTTTTCATTACTGTTACTGAGTATTAATTAATTGTGTTAAAATACTTGAAAGTTAGTATAATTTCCTAGCAACTATTTATATATTATGATTCTCCTTCCACCCCCGCGCCATTATTCTCCATATTACAGAGATATGTTGGTGCTAAGGCTTGACTCCATTGCTCCTCTTTTGAATGCAACCTCCATTCTCTCATTAGTTGCAGAAGCAGCCGATTTCAAATGCTCGCCGTCCATCATCTCTCTAATTGTCTCACAACCACCGTCGATGTCGGGGTCGGAGTCGGAGTCGGCGTCCGCCCCCGCCCCCGCCCCTCGCTTTCGCTTCACCGTAGCCCTTCAAATGATGCCCCAATTCTTCACCCTATTCTCCTGCGACGGCCAGTTTTGCCATTACAGAATTCTCCTCCACCATTTCTACACAACCTTGTTGGATATGGAACAATACCGTTTCTCTTCTTTAACCCTCTGTCTTCCCCAACTCCTCCATCGCCTCGTCCTTAAGTTTCAGAATTCTCGTTAGTATATGCATAACCTAACCCCATATTCTTTTTGTATTCGTTATTTAATTCTTGAGATTAGATGAACACAAGAACAAGAATCTTGTTTTTGCTTTCCCTTTTCGTTTCAAGAAGACTGTGTACTTGTGATTGCTCGATCTTTCTTATTGTTTTTGGGTTAATTTGGTGATTTAACATGTTTAAAACAAAATTCAATTTTAGAGCGTGCGCTGGAGATTCGAGAATTGGCATTGTCTGATCCAGAGGAGGACGACATAGGAGAAATTGATTACACAACCTTTGTCTCAATTGATTTGATACAGTTCAGACATGTTATAGCTGAGCTAAATACTCCGGAGGATGAGACAGCTCTCGTTATTCTAACGTATTCACAAGCCAAGTTCATTGGTGCAACTACAGAGATTATTCTTCCCAAAGAGGTAGTCATTTTCGTATGTTTTCATAATCTTAGAGTACGTTTGAAATGAAACATTTGAAAGTTTAAGGATTTATTCGCGTAGGGAGGGAAATGCATAATTGGAGGCCTCGAAGAGGGCGAGGAAATTCAATTCACAGTGATTCTCCATCCCAACATGTTTTTGCATATGTTTACAGACCACTCGAAAAGGGTATGGTTTTTCAAATCAACTAATTCTTGTAATACAGTGATATGTGCTCCTATTGGATTGTATGCTCGATATTTTGTCTATTTTTCCTGAGGAGGCAGAAAAATTTGGCCAGCTAAATGTTGGTTTTATTTGAGAATATTCTTTTTCTATTCATAAATTTTGAAGGGCTTATGATTGACCATGAAAATATATACGTATGATACCGAAATATATAATTCTAGCTTTCATTTCTATTCAAAGTAAAAAAATTATGGTGAATGGTTCTATTTTAGAAAGAAAACTTTGTTAATGTGAAAGAGACGACAGTTATTTGCAAAAGAAGTTCGAAATATATATATATATACAATGTAAAGTTTCTTTGAGATAGATCGTAGAATGAAGGTATATATATATTTGGAAGTACGTTTGAATGAGGAGTGTTTCTCTTGTTAAAAGTATTAGTATGTCAATAAACGATAAAAATATCAAAAATTTCGAATTGGCCCGTTTGATAATGTTTCAGTTTCTTGAATTTTAGAAATTTAGACGAGTTTATAACGATTTCATTTTTTATTTTTAGTTTTTAAAAATTCTTAGAATCGTTACTTTTACCAAAACCTTTTTATTTGTTTTATTATACTAGTAGTTTTTTTTTTTTAAAAGTTATTTGTGGCACATGTCATGCACGTGATATATTGGAGTCTTTTTTTAGGAGAAGTTTTGTCTATTAATTAAATTTCATTTTTTTAAGATATAATTAATCGTCATTGAATCTTACAAATGAGAAGAGATTATGTGAGGCGCGCAATAGCACATTAACAAACATATTTGGAATCAGGTAATTAACATGTTAAAAGTTAAACAATTATTGGAAAATAATTATTTTTAAAAGTTAAACCACACGACACCTATTCTTGAAAAAAAAAAGTTCAATGCTAAAATAGATATCTTCAAAATTGTTAAATTATATGTTTGGCTCTAAACTTTCAAAGTTGTGTTTATTTAGGCCAATGTACTTTAAATTTTTTCAAATAAGTCCCTACATATCTAAAGTCTTGTCTATTTGACCCTTATAGTTTAAAAAGAAATTTCTAATAA